GGGTGACGGCAGTGCACAGCCCTGCGTTCCCTCCTGGCTTCATCTGCATGCATAGCACAGATGTTTCCATTTTGCCTCCACGGGCTTGTTTTTTTTTCTTTTACAGAGTAACCAGGTATTCATAGCTTCAAGTTAATACATTTTTTGAGTAACTGAGGGCAACTGAGTGTCTGCACAAGCTGCTCCTTGCACACATGCCCCTTAGTGAAGCTGTTAACACCTGGCCCTGAAATCCCTGCTGGCATCTCTGTTCGAGTCAGCTGATACCAGTATGGATATTCCTCAGGAAAATTCTCCTGTTTTGTTACCTTTTAATTAGACAGGGCTCTTGGGTGACACCCAGAAACTGAAGAAAGTTCTGGGGAAATGAATGCAATACAGAGGATGAAAAGTAAGTAAATGTAAAACTATTTGGAGTTTTGCAAAGCGATGGAAAAAACAGCCGCTTGGGTTTGATGGCAGCTGTGACGCTGGGAAGGGGCCAGCTGAAGGAGCCGGCCTCCTTGATGGGAACCACGGTGTGGATACCACAAACCCCATCCAACCCCTCGTTCAGTCCTGCCCACTCCTCCTGGTGGGGAAGGACCCCCCCATCCCCGGAAGGCTCCGAATGCCGCTGAGCTGCTGCTTTGCTGCCTTAGTGCCATGTAAAAACTCTCCTTTCGACTTCCCTTCCCCTAAATTTGGAAAGGTAACAAGTCTGCCTAGTTGGTATTCCCAGGCAATGTCCAAAGCCAAGGGCCACAGAGGGGTCAGCCTGACAGTTGTCTTTATAAGCACTGAAGGATGGTCTCGCTCTTTCTTGGCATCCAGAAACTCGCTGCTTCCCAGCAGGATCCTCGCTCAGTTGTTGCCAAACTCCCCCAAACCTGGCAACGAAGCCCTGACCGCTGGCCTGAGATGGGGATTGCCTTGGCAACCCTGAGCAGAGCCTGTCTGCGCTGCCCATGCCCTGGCCCTGCTGCATCGGGTGATGGGGACACCCTTGCAGCTCCTCCCGCGTGGAGATGCTCCCAGGGCTGATACCACCTTAGAAGCTCCGAAAGGATAGGGCTGGCAGGCCACCTCCCAACCCCAGGAGAGCTGTTTGTGTGCAAGGGGATGGCTGTGATAGCTGGGGGAAGGATGTGGCATGGGCCATGCTGGACCCTGCCTCCTCCCCATCCCCCTCCAAGGGTCTCTAAGGTGCAAACAGAACCGCTGGCTCTTGGGTCTGCCACATCTGAGAGCCCCTCCGGGTGCCAGCCACGAGGCTCGAACCAGATCAGAGCACATGGGCAGAGGAGTTGAAGCAATGAAAGCTGGCCAGAGATGCCCACCACACTGTGCAAAAAGAGCGAGGAGAAAGAACAGGATCTTCCTCTGTATCCCTGCGTCAGTAGGGATGGTCAACTTGGTTGGGTCAGGTTGTATTGGGGTGTGTGTGGGGTTGTCTGCATCATGCTAGAAAATATCTTCTTACATCCCTAAATCATTTCCTCTGAAGAATAATTGGTTTGCAGGAATAGTAAATATTGCGTCACGTAGCCCTGGGATAACAATTTCAACACTCTGCCCTTCCAGTGTCGCCAACTCTAGGAAAACACGTAAAAATGTGCCTGCAGCAAAACAAATATAGTTCCCCCGCTGCCCTTTGAATACCTGTCTGTGGCAAAGTTTGATAAAACATTGGCAGAACTGTTCCATAAACCAAACATTAAGTGAGGCCAGGTTTAATTTTCAGCATTAATCCTCACCCAAGGAATTCAAACATATCAGCCAGTTCTTTTAGTTTCCCATTCAAAATGAGCATTGGAGAGGAAGAAAGGCTGAAGTCTACAAAAACATTTCTACCTGGGCTAAATTCCCCCTTGGGATGATGGGGGAAGTGAAGGTCCTTGGAAACATCATCTAGAGAGAGGCCACCTCCCCGCCGGTGGGGCTTTGGGTGGTGACGGCTCAAAGTGGTTTACCTTGATCGTGTCCAGGGGGTGGCCCACAACCACGCTGGCAGCTCCTGGGGATGAAAGCAAAGGATTACACAAAACATTGAAGAAGCTTTTTTGACGGGACAGGGAGCGATGGGTTTGTGGGGGAGGAGGAGAGCTTTCTTTAGGAAGAGTTGTGCTTGGCCAAGGCAGAGCAATGCCCAGCACAGTGCCCTGTCTCTGGCAACAGGTGAGAGCTGGGCAGAAACCCTTGCGCATCTTTCCTGGAATACTCTCCTGGATGCCATCAAGTTTACATCTCCAAGGCACCTGAGCAGGAGGAGGAGGTGGTGTATTTAGTGGGCATAGTGGTGTTGGGTGGATGGTTGGACTTGATGATCTTAGAGGTTTTTTCCAACCTATGATTCTATGATTTGTATGTCCTGCCTGTGAACAACCCCTCTTGCCATCTTGTAAGCTCATGGAAATTTTTCGCCTTGAAATGGTAAGATTCAGGTTAGACAGAAGGAAATGCTTTCTCCTGGCTCAGATAGAGATGCTTTAGAGCTGGCTGCTGATGGGAACTGTGAACCCCCATGCTTTGCCATTTTAAGAGCAGTTAGTAGAGGTATCCATCACAGATGATTCCCATAAAGAGGATCCTGCTCTGTATCGATCTCTACAGTCCATCCAGCTGCATTCCCTGTGGTTCTCTAGGAGAAACTGGCCCGTTCCCTGACACCATCCTGCCCACCTCCCAGTGCCACTTGCTGCCAGGAGCCACTGCACAGGGCAGAGCAGGGCTTGATGTCCTCTATCTCCTGGAGGATGGAGCAACCCATGTGCCATGGCCAGGATGCGGATTTGTGTCCTTATAGCAAACAACCCTGGCAGTTTTCAGGGTGTTTGTGGAGATGGTGGGTGGTCTGTGCTTCTTCCCCATCTGCAAGTCTCCCTGCAAACCAGTGTCCTCAAGTGCTTTAGAGACTGCATGAAATTCCTCGCTTGTAGTGGATTAGGACTGAAAAGAGCATCATGTTTATGGTCAACACATTATGAATTTGCTCAAAAATGAGTTATAAAATCTCCCCTCTCCACCTCAACCTTAACCTGAGACCACCTGTGGTCCAGCACTACACATGCCAGCTGGCTGCTGCCACCGACACTGAGCGCTGGTCGCTGGTCACCCTCCAGACACCCTATCCCACGCCGGGGGAGTGTGGCAATACCGCAGGGTCAGCGGGGCAGAGGAAGCGACTGCGTGCTGCACAGCCTCCGCCGGCTGCACGGATCCAAAATCCGGCTGTTCTGGGTTTTTTTACAGTCAGCTAACCTCTTCACCTCGTCCGGCCGGTCAGGATCCGTCAGCCGTCTCACAGCCCCTTCCTGAGCCTGGCGTGAGCGGTGGCTTGGGCAGAGCTCTGCTCTGCGGTGGCCGGTGCTGCGGTTGCCCCTCTGCCCGTCCAGGGAGCGGGGCAGCTTTGCCGTGCACCTTCCCAGCTCTTAAACCCAGTGGGAACTTCCAGTTTTGTAAAACTACACTACTGGCACCTCCCCGCATCCTCGCGTTTCCATTTCTTTCTGGCACGTTGTCTTGCGGGGGTTTGCGGTCGGCATTTTCAGCGCAGCGGATCGATAGCCCTCGCCGCCAGCATCGCCGCCCTGGCTGTCAGCCCCTTTGCCCCGTCGGGACCTGGGGGGGCAAAGCTGGGCCGTGCCC